AATATGGATGGCTCGCCCTGTGAGGTCATGGACGTTGGAAATAGAGGCCATTTAATTATTGCTGTTTTGTTGTAATATAACTGCCTGAGTCATTTTTAAAATGTTTATATATTCCTAAATTATAATCGTGGAAATTTCAAGTTGATGGATTTAACGGTATTTTCTTGCAGTTCGGATTTGTTTACAATTGTTGGTCGCCAATTTGTCGTATTTTCATGCTGATCGTGTATTATCACTGTTTATATAATAGAATTTATTTCTTAAATTTAAATTGAATAATTTTTAATGAATTTTAATGGATTGATTTTAAATTAAAATCCATTTGTATATGTGTGGCTTTTCTCCTAATTACTTATCTTTTAAATTGTTAATTGCATAATCAGTGACACATTTTAAACAGCATAAAATAAAATATGCATAAAAAAGAAAAGCATAGCTTATGTAATAATGAGGATAATCATTAAATTTGCCTATTATTTTCATGTTATTTATGAAATACTTTTTGTATTATAAATACAATAGAAACTATACTTTTATTGTAAATGCATTGTAAATACATATTGAAACATCGGAAATTTATGGATTTATTATTATTCATGATGAAAAAACATGTTGTATATACATTCTTAATATAAATCTTATTCATTACATTAATACTAATAAATATATATTAACAATTCTAAAAAACCATCGCATCTCTCCATCTGTAAAGTAAATATGACTTATTAGATGTGTATATATATATGTTATGTATGAATACAAAAATGAACATTGCCAAACATTTGAAAATAATTTGATGAGCATTTGAGTACTAAAGAGTGTACACATTTTGTTATTGGGTTAATTTATAATTATATATAGTATGATCTATGTAATATAACATGACTAATAAAATAATAAGAATGTAACAGCTGTGCGTTTATAACATTTGATTACTTAAAACAGTGCACAACTGATTATCACCTTCATGTCTTTTACATAATAATTGTATTTTTCCAATTAAGTGCACGGGCCTACTAGTGGCCAAGCGTCATTGAACCTGGTAGTTCTGTTTCAGGTTAGAATGCAGCAAACAGGCTGGCTACATGGGCATTTTTCTTGGTTTTCCCCATTTGTAATTGGTATACGAGGCAGTTTTAAAAAATCTACAAAAGGATCCCTCCTGTTAGGCAGGTATCGCTCTAGGCTTTGCCGTAATCACATAAAACAAATTCATGATGTGCACCTAATTTCTAGAGTTGGTATAATTAATGTGTTTTAGGTATATTACCGTGTGTTCTATGGGACAGAAAACAACTTGCGCATGTTTGATTGCTTATGTATTCATATGCTTTATTTAATCTTCATTTTGTTCAATAGTATCTGCTGGCTGTGAGAATGTAAATATCAAATATCAGCCATATAGATTTTTGCCATAGAAGGTCTTGGTTTTTTTTTCCCCCTCTCTGTTTGTTTGTTTATATTTATGGACAGAACAGTAATTATAAGCCATAAAGTTAGTCAGGAAAATGCTTTCCCCAGGTCACAAATTCTCCAGTGAGCCATCAAATTTTCATTGAAATGCAGACATCAGAAAATACATATAAGTAATGTCTGATAAACAGACTAATACAGCACACATTTTAAACTAGTCTTAGTGTATACAGAATTTAGCTATAACTCATGTAGTAATTGATTGCTGTAACCAGAAGTGTGTTTATCTGTTACTTGAAGTGCCAGAGTGGAGATCAAAGTGATTAACTCGACAGCAATCACCTTTCTATTATCTTCCATTACTAACAATAAAGTTTAAAATGAAAAAAGTGTGAGCAATACAAAACAACACGAAGAAGTAAACGTCACTTGAAAGGAAACGTCACTCTCGCCAATCTGAGCGATAACTGATTCTTGTTTGGCTTTCAGCCTGTTTACCAAGTGAAGATGGTAACCCTATTTCGCCAAAGAGCGTTTCTCAGAACTGTTCCACCAAACGTTTTGTTCTGGCAACAAATATCATATGTGATAAGAGTTTTACAGCCTGGTGAGAAAGTGATACTGTTTGAAATTTTCGTATCATTTTGTTGTCATTAAATGCTTGAGCCATTTTTATGGCACATTTTTTAATGAATTCTCCATCTAAAAATGGCTTCTTTGCCTTTATTATTTCTAAACAAACTTCAAAACCTGCCAGCTACAGACTTCTTGAATTTTGGTTTTGATAAATAAATATCGTTGATGCCAGCTGCTTTTTCATTTTTTTCACTAGTGGTATGTCTCGCGTGTACGAATGATACTTTTTCATGTATGGAAAGATAATGGCGCTTCAAGTTATATTCTTTACACATCTATGATTTGTTAACATTCCAACACTATGGGTTACCATTCTTGTTCAGAATAAATAAATAATCTATCTTCCAGCGATCTCGAAATTCTTGATTTTTGAAGTCTATTTTTCTTTTATTAGTAGCACTAATATTCAATAATTATTTTAATTAATAAATAAATATAAAATTAAATTAATAATATTATAACACAGTCACCCCTCAAAAAATTCTAGACAAGACTGCACTTGCACGATTGCATGAATCAACTAAATAGAGCAGGATAGTGTGTGCATCACATGCGCCAACCATAGATAAAGAACCAACTACAAATATATAATGTGGCACCAACATTGAGCCAACCATCATCAGACGTTAAACGGATTGCTGCTGTATTCAGCCGGTTTAAGTTATGCAAACTAAATAGTACCTATTTAAATTCAATTAGATTTAATTTTCACATAGAAAATAATTTTAATATTAATAATAATAATTTAGTAACATAAATTTATTCATAGTAAAATGTACTTGTGGGCCGTAAAAATAATTTGGCTAGCCGTATACGGCCCATGGGCCGCCAGTTGGACAGCCCTGATTTAATATAATATACATTGAGCAAGACAGTTAATGTTGAGAATCGAGCATTTAATTGATATTAGGTGCAGTTTCAGTGGCATCATTGTTTTTTTATGTTTTATGCATCTGGCATCATTATTATTTTTATAATTCCAAAAGTTGTCATGTATAAGACGTACGTTCTCTTTACTTTTTTTGTTAATGAAGTCCAAAATTCAATTATCCATTACTCTGTTTATTAATAAAGTCCAAAATTCAATTAGCCATCACTCTGTTTGTTAATAAAGTCCAAAATTCAATTAGCTATCACTCTGTTTGTTAATTTTATAACAGGTTATGGGTTTTAGCGGCATTTAACTGCACAAAATAAATTAACGATGGCTATGTTGATGTATTTGAATCACAGATTTTTTTTACTTTCGTTTTCGATTTCAACTCTTCCACCTGAGCAGAGTGTACGTAGATGCTACAGTGTACCAATAGCCTTTTCTTGCTGCATATTTCCTGGTTAATGATGATGTAATATGGAAGCTAAAAATTTTGTTCAGTGTACCAAATTGGAAGGTTTATGCAACGGGACTGATTGAAAATTTGAAATAAACTCTTTATTTTTGCTCAACGATTGTGTGGGCATCTTCGATAATTCCCTTATCGAGCTAAAAGCTCTGGCAGAAAGTGCGAATGAAACAACGATATGCGAGTACAACGACGCCGCGAAAGCTGCTGTGATCATTCGCTCAAATGTATCACTGAATGTGTTAAATTTGATCCGTATGCATGGTAATTCTGCACTAGCGATATGGAATGAGTTATCATCAAGTTAGGCATCAAGCTGCGAATCACTATGCCATATACACCAGAACAAAACGGATTGGTTGAAAGAGAGAATCGTACAATAATGAATGCAGTTCGCACTATAATCAAGGATTCAGGCCTACCACAGTTCCTATGGGCAGAAGCAGCATCTACACCTGTCTACATTCTCAATCAAACTGGACCAAGTAAGACTACGGGAAAACCTCTGTTTGAGGAATGGTTTGGACGCAAGCCGGCAATCTACAGAATTCAAGTTTTTGGATCAGCTGCATTTGTACATGTACCAAATGTCAACAGAGGTAAATTAGATGACAAGGCTATAAAGGGCTATTTGGTTGGTTATTGTGATGATGATGGGTATCGCATTTTCATAACATCAAGGAATGATACAATAAAATGTGCCAATGTAGTGTTCAATGAACAGCAAATCAGCCCTACTTCCCAACCTTCAAAATTAGCATCTAACACTGGTCTATCAAGCAGTATGAAGTTTATTTTGGAAGATTCACACGATGATGCAGACACACAGGGGGCTGGTGATCTGTGTACTGATGAAGATGAATCAACACAGATGACCGCACGTACACTGTGAGACCATTCAGCTATCCAACGGCCTGTCAGATTTAATGACTATGTGTACAAAAGCATTCTGAAGTTGAAAGAGCCTGAAACATATGACGAAGCAATGAAGTCTCCTGAATACGCCGACTGGAAACGAGCCATGGACAAGGAAATGGCTTCTCATGCCAAACATGGAACATGGCAACTCGTTGAGCCCCCAACGGACGTAAAATCCTCAACAATCACTGAGTTTACAGAGTGAAGACAAATCCCAATGGCTCAATCGAGAGATTCAAGTCCCGTTTAGTAGCAAAAAGGTACACTCAGACTCAATTAGCCATCACACTGTGTTAATTTTATAACAGTTAATACTCAAATATTTTACCCTGTTTGCTTCCCACTATAGTATTATAACAATAAGCATGATTATTATTTAAGCTGCTTTCATATTAATAAGGTTTTGATGATGGGCATAAAAAACTTTAGTAAATTTTTTATGTTCTTTCCAGCATTACATGGTTAATCCTTTTGCTTGTCATTCTATGCCACTGAAAAAACATACTTAATTCAAAAGTGCCCCTTAATCCATTTTTGAGCTAAATAAAATAAGTATTCATGGTATGTACATTGGTGCCTTCAATTACAATAAACAATAATGGCATGTCATAATATGCATTCAACACACACACACACACACACACCACAAAAAAAAAAAAAAAAAAAAAAAAAAGATAATGAACTTAAACCTGCATCATCTTTTAACAAAAGTGTATCCCTAGTGTCTGTTTCTTTCCCTTCAGATACTGCTTTATCTTTAGAATGTACAAGCTCATCATTAGACCTAAGGAAATACAAAAGAAAGAATTTTGAAGAACTTTGATGTGAAGATAAAAACAGAATCAGATAAATTCTTCAAAAATTATAATTAAATTAGGAGGAAAAACTAACATTCATGTAATATTACACAACGTTACAATTAATGTAATATAACACAAGTTATTGTGAACCGGGGCTAACTCGTATAAGCAAAAACTCAAGACTACACAGATTGATAAAATAATAATAATACTATAGTCTTATTGTTCAGCCTACAAGGAATTTACTAACATAAAGGATTCATGCAAGTACATAGCAGTACGAAACATGTTCAAATGTACAGATATACACATAGTACTAAATATAATGCATACTATAAATTTACAACCATATACCTGTAATACAAATGAGATGCTGTTCAGTATACAAAATATATCACACATTATAAAAAAATCAATAACAGCTTTCTGTTTCATTGCACTACTGCATTTCCTTTCTGTCATATTGCGTAGACACCACAATGTCAGTTGCGGTCGCGGACACTTAGCCGACAGGACACTTAACCGACACCAGTTAGCCAAGACATTTAGCCGACAGGGACACTTAGCCGACATGGACACTTAACCGACAGAACATTTAGCCGATAGGACATTTAGCCGACAGGGACGCATAACTGACAGGTCATCTAGCCGACATGGACAGTTAGCCGACAAAACACTTAGCCGACAGGACATTTAACCAACAGGACATTTTGCTGACACAGAGAGTTAGCCGTCAAGACATTTAACTACGGGACACTTAACTATCAACACATTTAGTCGACTGGGACATTAAGCCGACAGTAACGTTTAGCTGGCACGTACCCAATAATTTGTTCAAACTTAATATCAAGTTACAAAAATTCTCGACTTCGCTCTGTAAGTTCAATATTTAAAGTCGTTATTTTTTTCACCTATCAGTAAAATTCATTTTTCGTATTCTTAAAGATCTTCATATATATGCTTTTAATTATTGTATTAATTTAGCATTGTTTGATATGTATCCATGGACCTTATAAGAAATAGACCAACCCAAATGGTTTTTCTCCCTTGCCTTGGCGTATTGCCGGCTATCACCTTGACCACATCCGAAGTAGTAGGGACGACTTGCAGAAACTTAACAATAGTTAGCTATTGCAGCGAGTATAATTTTCAAGAAAAAGCTGGTGATAGCACCTCATTTCACAAATTAGAATTTTTAGATATTTTTATTTTAGAAACTGAGATTGATTTTTTAAAAATTTACCATGTTTATCAAGCGTAAATAATGTTCTAAATAATTATAAAACTGTTGTTGCATGCATTTCAGGTCTGGATATTTTTTTAGGCTTTTCCTATGCTGTAAGGAAATTTGTATCTCCTTCTTTTAAAAAATAATATTTTAAATCTGAATTAATAGAAAAATTCAAACAAACAATTTTCTGTTATAATTTTTATGCTTTTTATTGGTGTAAATAAGTAAAAAATACTAAAAATCGAAAAAAAAAAAATGGATTTTTGAAAGTTTTTGTTTAAAATTCTTATTTGTACTGCTTTTTTAAAAGTATATCTTAATATTATAGCATAATATTCTACAAAGAAGTTTTATTTCCAATAATATTTCATAATACATAATAGTGATTAACACTTTTAACACTTTAATAATTTTTATGCATTTATTCTAATGTTAAAAATTGTATTTAACTGTAATAATTAATTGCGCTAGTATTTTATAATTATTATTTTTTTAAATTTATGCCTAGTTGTGCATAAGTTTTCTTATTTATTGATAATTTATTTTATTAACCCAAAGGGACGGCAGCTCAGAAAAGCTATTTGTTTCAAAATGGCATTTTGCTTTGTTTCACTATAAATGCACATTTCACTTTGCAGACTGTTGCCACCAAATATTATCACCCTGTATTAAATTTAAAGAAATTAAATAATGAGGAATCTGCATGAATGCATGTATGTTTCTCTCGCATTGTGAAAAAACAACAGAATTTAGAACCATAAAATTTTGAATAAAGTAATCCTCCACCCGAACATGGGCACCTGGACAGCCTAATTTCGAATTTGTTTTAATCCATTTGATATTTTGTAACTTTAACGAAGTTTTGATTAAGAAACTCAATGAGTTCAAAGCAAGCAATGGCAACCCTGTACAGAAAAATCTCCAGCGCGGAAATTCTAAATAAAGATATGTCATTTTCAAATATTTTGTGATATGTTTCTTGAATTAAATTTTATGTGGTTTACTTGCGAAGAACATGATGTTTAATAAATAAAGGTAACACGCAAAACGTTACAAAAACGCTCCTTTGGGTGTAATATAAAATTATATTACTGAGTGCTTGCAGAGTTTATCTTTTTTTCCCCTCGTTACACTCAAAAAAGTTTATGCTCTGAATTTTATGAATTACAAAAATAAATAATCATCTTGCAATGTTAATAATTAATGATCATATGATCAAATAAATGATTGTCTTTTTATGTTATAATAATTTTAAAAATTACTGCTTGAAAATGCTCATAAAATCAAAGAAAATTATCAGATCGTGTTTAATTGTACTTTTTCATTTCAAAGCATCATATGCTATCAGTATTATTTAATTTTACTTTATTTGTACACAAAAGTAAGTTAATAAGTTTTGCATTTAGAACTTTTACCGTTTTATTAAAGTAAAAAAATTTATACAAGAATTACGCTTGAAAAAAATGCGCAAAATGCAGTAAAAAGTGCTTTTATGAGATACGTTAAATCTTGTTTGCAAAAACTGTGACTTTCATAATCTCATCACTTATATAACGTATCACATTTAATAATTAAAAACAGTTATGTGATACAGACGCCAGCGGTTTCTGTGTTAAAGTAAGCCAGATCGTCGCTACTCTTTCTTACGGGCCCACCAGTGGCCGAGCGGTAACGTCACCGAACCGAGGTTTGAATCCCGCGAACGGGCTGGCTGCACGGGTGTTTTCGTGGTTTTCCCCATGTGTAACGTGTATACGAGCCAGTTTCCCTTAAAAAGTCCTCCACAAAGGCATCCCTCCCTTAAGGCAGATAGCCCTCGAATGCTTTGCCGTAATCTAATAAACCAAACCTTTCTTATGGACATGTGAGCAACGCACGTTTCGCCCACTGGGTTAGTCTATCTCTTATAAGGTTTATGTATGTATCGCGCTGTTTGGTGTATATTGGCGAAATTGATAAAGCGCTGAAATTTCTCTTCAGGAAATATGAATGAAATTTCGAAAGGAAAAAAAGAATTTTTTTAGCTATGTACAGCGGTCACTTAATTACATTTTAATGTGAGATTTTCAAAAATTATCCATAAAGCTTCTTCATTTAATCATCTGGGTTCTTTGAACTCTTTCACTTCATTAATAATTTTTTTTTGTTTACTTAATGATATTAATTTTCCAATCTCGCTCTTCCAAATGCTTTCAAATTTTTAATACCTTTACGTTTCATTACTATTTTACACATCACTTCATATTACATTCTTTCCCTTACAAAATCGTTTCGGCTCTTCCCACTAAGGAAATTTCCTTTCCCTGTCATGAGAAATCTGAATAATGCAATAAAAATTATTGTTATTCTTGAATTATACTTTTTATGGAAACATATGGTGGTGAGGGTTAGTTTGGCAAATATATTTTATTTTGTTATTAAAAACAATTTTTAAAAAGTGAATTTTTAAGACAAGCAAAGGTATAAATTATTTGTGACATCTATAATTTGCAGCTCATGCCACCATTCTTGAGATAAAAATTCTGTAACATTTTATTGACCACACCTCTCGCTTAAAATACTTACTTAGGTTAATGTTTATAGCCCTAAACTAGTGCATAATGCTTAATTTAGAAGTAAAATATTCTTTAAGGTTTTTGTTTCATTCATTTTCGAGAAATTTCAGTGCTTTTTCAATTTGGCCAATGTACACCAAACAGCATGATAAATATCAAACAATGCTAAATTAACACAATAATTAATAGAACACATGAGATCTTTAAGAATTGAAAAATGAATTTTACTGATAAGTTAAAAAAATGACTTAAATATTGAACTTATGGAGTAGTTGAGAAATTTTGTAATTGATAGTTTAAATATTTTTTGGGTACGTGTCTGTTAAACGTCACTGTTGGCTTAGTAAGTTGTTGACTAAATGTCTTTACAGGTATAAGTGTCCCGTAGCTAAATGTCCTGACGGCTAACTCTCTGTGTCGGCTAACTGTCCTTGTCGGCTAAATGTCCTGTCGGCTAATTGTCCTGTCGGCTAAGTATCCTTGTCGGCTAACTGTCCGTGTCGGCTAAATGACCTGTCAGCTAAGTGTCCATGTCGGCTAAATGTCCCGTAGGCTAAGTGTCCATGTCGGCTAAATGTCTTGTAGGCTAAGTGTCCTTGTAGGCTAAGTGTCCGTGTCGGCAAAATGTCCTGTCGGCTAACTGGTATTGGTTAAGTGCCCCGTCGGCTAAGTGTCACGGACCCTGTCAGTTGGTGAAGTGTCATCTTGCTGTTCAGCTCACATACCTTTATCATCAGAACTTTCATTATGTGTGCTAAATTTGCCCAGCCCTCATTAGACAATTCAAATTGTCATCATCTCGCATCCAATCATTCACATCTTCACTGCCTCTGCAACTTGAAGCTGGTTTCGGATAGCCACTAATTCTTCATCATCTGCTTCTTAAGTTTGTGTCATTTTTTGTGTCATCGTCATTCAGAGAAATAGTTTTCCAGCTTTTCAGAATAGTAGATTGTTTCATATTTTCCTCGATTCTCCCTCCCAGTAAATCATACCTTTCAAATTAGCCCATTTTAGGCTTTCAACAACTGTTTTGTTATTCATCTCTTAATAAATGTTTTCAGAGCCTGTGTCGACAGTTTCATTTTAGATTTTCTGAAACAGGCTGAATCAGGGCTATAATATTATGAAATAAAAAATGGCTCAGATCTTTCCACTGACCAACTAAATTCATTAGAATAATAAAAAGTAATGTATAAAATTAAGGCCACTTTTTAGGGCAAAATATTTTCATCAGAAAATCGCTTAACACTTGGCACAAATTCATGATGGAAACATGACTTGAATTCATCCAAATGCTTTTTTGAATATTTTACAGGATGAATTTTAAAATTCACATTTTCATATGCCATTGATTCCCCCCCCCTCTTGCCTATGAATAAAAGCTTAAACATGTTACTGCCAGATGAATTTCCAGATATTAGCCAGACTTATTTGTAGCCAGGAGCTGATAGTTCTTGTTTTGATGCTAGTATCTTTTTAATAACATTTTTAAATTCAGAACTGCTTCGTCACAGCTTAAATCTGCTCTGGGCTCATTTTCGCTGAATGATAGTATGAATAAAGAAAGTCACTGCACCTGAGTTAGCTGTCAAAATCTTCTCTGAAATATTTAATTGTCTCAGCCTGTACTGTTTTTTTCCAACAATCAAGCTAAACTTTGCTGGCAGAGATTTCCTCTTCATTATCTTTGCAACAATGGAGAACGTCCGAAGTCTTGTCTTGTAATATCAGAGAAGAAAGTAGACTTCCTTTTCTTCTCATCTGCTAAAACAAAAAAAAAAAAAAAAAAAATTGATGTGAAAAATGCTTGAGATGATAATCACTCTCTTTCATTGCTTTTCTTTTCTTTGTAATGTTATCATCTCCAGTCATATGTGCATGCTGAATTACCCATTTTCTATTTCCTCTCTTTTCATTCTCCAGCTGGAAAGTGTCACTTCACCACCTTTTAGCCTGTTAATAGGAGCAAGCATTTCTTCTAATGATAAAAACCTAATGTGTGCAAAAATTGAGCTTGCCAAGATCAAATGTGCTAACAGGAGTTCTTATCTTTAAGGTTTGAATTATTGCTAAAATTCAAGTCTATTGATTGCTCACCTTTTCAACGAGACTATTTTAACATTTATTCATTTATTTATTTTATTTGTTGCACTGGGCTCAGATAACACGGAACCTCAGTTGGATACTTGGGGTTTTACTGTATTTTCAAATTTATTCTCATTGGCATTTTACATAAATGAAAAATTAACCACTAAAGAAAACCAAGAACCACTTGAGCAAATGCCCATAAGGAAGTAAGACACATAAATTGAAAAATCACCTGTCTTTGCTATTGGTACAGCTACTTGTTTCTTTAATCTTTTTTGTATCTTCCTTTGAATATTTTTCTCTACGTCTAGAATTTCCAAAAGATCCATCATCAACCTTTTCATCAGCTTTATGCCGAACTTTTAAATTTTCATTATTAGCTTCAGACTGTGAATAAATGGAAAAAATCAACAATTTTTTCATAAATAAAAAGTTACGCTAAAAATACAACTTAAGTTCTTTGTACCTCAGCAAAATCATCTCTATTTAGTAACTCATCATCTCCATCACTCCAGTCACTGAAATCATCATCATCACGCATTCCATCTTCTATAGATAAATTTTAAAAATTAATAAAAAACAGTATTTTTAAGGATAAAAAACTTGAAAAAGAGAAATGCTACAAAAGTACTGTTATGAGAAACTTAAAGTAAGTAGTTTTATTAATAATCAAAATCGAATATGAATAAAAAATATGATTCAACGAACTTCAGGGGATTATAACATGCATCCCAAACATTTAAAAGCAAAGATTTTGCAAAATTTAAGATTGACTTCATATTCACATTTTTAGATTATGGCTGAATTTTACCAATTCCAGCTTCATCTGCATCTCTTTCATATTTGTGGCATTTGTACTTATATAAAAGAAATATTAACCCTCCCTTGTTTTTAGGGGATTTTATGAAGTTTAGGGGATTTGATGATGAAAAATAATAAATAAAATTCTTACTTTTAGCAAACAAATGTAAGTGATCAATAAACTTAATGTCACTAATTTTGTAACAATTTACTGAATTGTTATTTCTGCATCTTACAGTGTTTTTTTCTATTTCCTAATTTTTAGAGATTTTAAATTAATTCTGGATACGTTTCTTGCTTTTTCATTCCATTTTTTAGGAATCCTTACATGAATACATGCTAAATTTGCATACAATTAACAGTTTCAGGAAAAAGTAAAGCAAATTTAGAAACAGCTAAACAAAACAAAATGTTAAATTCATCCAGATTTGTTTCACTACCTGTTTGATAAGTGATTAAATTAAGAAACATTGAAAGTTGTGAAGTCATTGCCTTTGCAGATGAATTGTTGATTTGTATTCAAGGAAAAGAAATGCAAAAAGCTTTTCATCTCGCCCAAGATGTTTCACATTTAATTTATCATAGGTCAATAGATTTTAAGTTAAACTTTAACCATGCAAAATCCAAGACCATGTTTATTGATAGAAAAAATACTACTTATGAAGGATATCAATTGCTTAGATTGTGTTTCCAGTGATTGAATAAAGAGACTGTATGAGATTTTTGTAGTTATTCTCATACATAATGAAAATGTGAGGGGAGTTTACTTCTAAGAAGCCTTCTATGAAGGCACTTCTCCCATCTTTTGTCACAATCAAGTAATGCGATCAAGTACTTCATTATCAACTGAAATATTAAAAATAAGTAAATAAATAAAAATAAACAAACAAATAAAAGGAAGAGGAAATAATTTTGTATTGCTGATAACATAAGATTTGCTAAGATACTTGTGTGTGTATATGTCATAAAGAGGAATTTCACAAGGCATGTTTTTAATTTCTAGAGTGGCAGCACTGTGGTCAGAATACTGCGTTTGTGCGCTGTTTATCCACATCTGTTGGCAAGCCACAGGTGCCGTTATGGTAACTTTCAACCAAGTTAACATTCGTTTTTGAGTATTTAAAAATAGTGCTTATCAGTGCTGAGGGTGTGAAAGCAGCTGAAATTCATCGTCAGATCAGAGAAGAGTACGAAGAAAATATTATGGGGAATGGAATGATATGAAAATAAGTTAGAGCTTTTAAGCTGATGACTTTCCTCAGGTTCCACACAGTATTCTGTATGAAATTGTGAGTGAATGTTTAAATTATCAAAAACTGTGCTAATGCTGGGTACCAAAAAAGACACGGCAATGCACAAAATGAAATATTTAAATAGTGCTTTAAATTTCCTTCAGAGGTACAGTTAGAAAGGTAAGGATATTTTAAGCCAAACTGTCAGAGACAGTTGCTGAGTGACTTATGCTAAATAGAATAAAGCAACAACCCATGGGATGGTGACATTCATCATCACCCAAGAAATTGGATTTTGAGCAAATAGTTTTAGTCCAGAAAACCATGTGTAATGTGTTTAGGGAAAGGATGGGATGTTGCTAGCGGATTTTATACCACACAGTAACAGAATAAATTCTAAGGCATATCATGAGACCTTAAAGAAACTGTAGTATGCAATCCAAAATGAAAGGCATGGCGTAGTTAGTAGAGGGGTCGTTTTGCTTAATGACAATGCCCGTCCACAAGTGGCTAAATGAACTCAAGATCTCATCACATCATTTCACCAAGAACAACTTGATCCCCTCTGTACAGTCCCAATCTAGCACTTAGTGACTACCACCTGTTCCTGCATTTGAACAAGCATCTCGGCAGTCTTTGCCACAGTGATGATGATAAGGTCAAAACGGCCATGTCGCAGTCAATGTCAAATCAGGCATCAGACTCCTTTCAAGAGGGGATTCAAAAACTGGTTGTACATTATGAAAGTGCTTTAATATTGGCAAAAATTATGTAGATAAATAGACTGAGGTACAGGCTTTCACATAAAAATAAAATTAATAAGGAAATTCTACTTGTTTCTTTTTTATTTCTAAATGGTACTTTAAAAACTGAGTAATAAACCTTGTAATTCAAACTGAGAAAATGTAATCATACTAATATATATTCTAGTAGTTTTAATTTTAACACAACTTAATTTAAGGACCCTGTTTATACTTAACTCAATTGGAAGACTGTATAAATTAAAACAAAAAAATTAACCATTATACCATTTTTAATACTGCTTTCCACAAATTTAAATTGCTTGCTATTATACACTCACTTTAAATTGCTTACACACTTTAAATAATTAATTATATTTAATTGCTTACTTTAACACTTTAAATAATTAATTATATTTAATTGCTTACTCACTATAATTTAACTGCTTACTTTCACATACACTTTAAATTGCTTGCTATTATACACTGTTTGTGAAAATTGCAACACCAAGAAGGAATCGTGATAATTGAATGCAATTTAATACACAGTTGAGTGGTAGTGGTACAAATAAATGATTAAATGTTCAAAGCAAACAAACAAGAACAAGAGATCAGAATCAGTATTTTGTGTGGCCACCACGCGCAGCAATAAGTGCTGCTAAACGACGTGGCGTGGAGTCAAACAAAGTTTGAATGTCTGACTGAGGAAGAGCATTCCATATCGTTTGTACGCGTACCCAAAGTTCGTCTGCAGACGCAACAGGACGAGGATCACGAGCAAGACGCAGACCAATGACATCCCACACATGTTTCAATTGGCGGGCATATCCGGGGAACACGCAGGCCAAGGAAAGAAGCTGTAACCTGCTGCGCTGCAGAGAAGGATTTAACAATCCGAGCAGTATGAGGGCGGGCATTGTCCTGTTGAAATACAGCGCCTGGCAAGCTTTGAAGGAAGGGAACAGCTTCGGGCTGTAGAACTTCACGGATATACCGGTTGCTGTTCAGATTGCCCACAATTCGTAGCAATTGAGCTCGTCTATGATATGCTATGGCGCCCCAGACCATAACTCCGGGTGTTCGTCCACTGTGGCGTTCGATAATGCACTCCGGAAGGTGGCGTTCACCGGCATAGCGTCTGACACGAATGCGGCCATCATGGTACCACAAATTAAAGCGGGATTCGTCAGAAAACACGACATGCTGCCCAATCAGTACGCCAGCTCTATGCTGATTGGCCATTGTAGCCGCAGGCGGCGATGGTCGTGCGTTAGGGGGATCCTGTATAAAGGAGTCCGTGCGCGCAGGTCCACACTGCCAGCAGACGTCTACGAATTGATGAAAGCACACAATGAAACACCTGTAGCTATTGACCACAGTGCTGCCAATTGTCTAGAGGAAGCTGTACGGTCCGTCCGCGCCATGCGACCAGGTGTCTATCATCGCGAGCTGACGTCACATTTCGGGGTCCACTCCCGGATTTCCGAGTTGTCCGACACTCGTCCGTCCACTGCTTCCAAACGCGCAATCACTGTGCTGCTGTTACGCTGCACACGAGAGGCTACTGCACGATACGACAATCCCAGCTTCACGAAGGCCGATGATTCTCCCTCATTCAAAACTCTGTGTAAGTTGTTCAAATCTCCCTCTCTTTCGTCGACGAGGCATAAGTAAAGATTGAGTTAACGTTTACCACTAGCAGATAACCACCGATAACCATACACGCCTCGCTACAGCCGTCTATTTATTCGGATTCCATCAGCGTTCAGGGGCGTGCTCAGCATACGCATGCGCTACGGATTTGCAATTTCTAATCATTTGCATATCATGCGGCTACTTTGGCATTTCCTGAAAATTTCAGCTCACTCGCGTAAGTCCTTCATGGTGTTGCAATTTTCACAAACGTGAGTGTATAAATATTTCCTGCATTTATTTTATTATTATTATTACTTATGTTTTACTTGAATACTGAGTTTTAGCTTTTAGAATACAGAACTTTTGCAAATTCTGACTAATTACAGAGTTTAAACACAGTAAAAATTTTTAAATGTTTATGATTAAAAAACATGAGTTTTTATCAAATTTTATTATATCAAGAATAAAAAATTGTATATTTAAAACTAATGACAAACCATTATGCCTAGATTTCCTTTCTTCCCTTTCTTTAGCTTTGGTTTCATTTCTCACAGGAACTTCAACTTTGTCTTGGGATACCAAGGAATTATGTGATAAATCACTCATGGGAGAAGAAACCTCAGATTTGGCTTCAAAAATAATTTAAATAATTTCAAAACTTAGCTAATTAATTTAATTATTTTTTACAACAATAATTACCCATGTAAAAAAGAAGATTTTTTTTTTTCCTTTACCTGATTTTTGACTACGGCTAAGTAGTTTAACTTCTTTAAACTCTTCTTTCAGTCTTTTATATGAACTCATTGAACCTATAATAGAAATAATATCAGTTATATTTCTCACTTTAAATCTTTTTTAGCTTATTAGACTATATTCTTTAGTGCATGATTATAAAAATGTGTATATTATTTTGAAAGAAACAATAATATGCATCATATGTCCATAATAAAAATTTAGGAACACCTTTTTTTTAGTGGAAATGTTAAAATGAAAGAAGTGGTAGAAATATACAATTATATTTCTACTTCCTAATATTTAAACTAATAAAACATTTTTACACTCTTTTCTAACTTTTGGTAGTTAAAAACATTCTAAAATGAAATCAATAGCTCTAATAACTATTTCAACATGTTACTAATACAGCATTAATATTTATTACTAAACATATGTAACAACTGCGGATCTAAAATAATGCTGGGAGGTCTTGGCAGATAAAAGTTTTAATTAACCAGGCACTTGTGCTGAAAAACTGTTTAACTCTCACATGAAATGTAATTAGAAATAATTATTAATTAAAAAGAATACAATTAAGTCAGAGTTCCTTATACACTTTTTCTATGACTGGTCGAACTTCCTGTACTGCCATTAGAGGCTTAACAGGGCTTAGTGGAGCTATTTAATTAAAGAAACATTGAGATCTTCAACAAGGCCTAAATCAGGCCCGGTAAGCAGTAGAACTACCAACATACTACCTGAAATAAATTTAAATAGAATAAACAACTAAAATATAAACATAAATTCTAGGAGCTGGTGAGATTTGCCAGCTACACCAACAAAAGCATATTATTACATACTTTGTAAAATATAACACGTTACTTACATGCATAAAAATATGTTACTTACATATACAAAGAAATAAAATAACAGAAAATCATAAACATCCTAGTGTTTCTTAAAACAGACAGGGAAATTTTAAACACAATCAATATATAAATTTATTTTATTTACAGATATATATTTCATAAAATTAGATAATTTCAATTTAGTCACTGTATTTTTACTTAGATCCTTTAGAGCAGGGATGGCCAAACTCCAGCCCGCAGGAAGGTTCTATCTGGCCCGCGGATATAATTTTAATTTGCCGGTCAGACGCAAATTAAAAGAAATATTCATATATTATATATCCATCTCCTTTTCTACTTTGTTTAAATATTATATTTTTTCTTCCTTTTTTTTCAGAGAGCTGGTAATCTGTTTACATTCTCTATTTTTGTTCTACAAAACATAAATCGAAGGAAATAGCAAACACAGGCAGTTTTCAATCGGTAAAGTGTTAAAAGCGGAAGTTATTTGTTAGTTATAGGCTGTAGATTGGCGCCAACAAGCGTTATCTTTTCTTGTGGAGCAGACATATGGGAATTCAATATGGGTGAATTAGACCTCACATGTGGCAGACTGCGCATTTTTAAGCTCCATCTAGCGGCTTTTTCTTTTGGCGCGAGTTCTAATATTATTGATTGCGTGTTGAAAGATTGTGGACATATAGCATCATTGTGAATAGTGGTGAAATTATTAAAAGTATAGCGTAGCTAGTGCTTGTTTGGGTTATTCGTAAAATATTTCAACCCCAAAATGGCTACTAAAAAACGTAAAGTTGATTGAGAGTGCCGCGCTTTTAATGATGAATGGACATGGAAATTTTTTTTTTTTTTTTTTTCAGTTGTAAAAGATAAACCAGTGTGTCTTATCTGCAATGAAGCTGTAGCAGTCTTCAAAGAATATAACATTTCATGTCATTTCACATCTAAGCATAAGAATTCCAATTACGAAGCAATGTCCGAATGAAAAAAAAAAAAAAAAAAAAAAAAAAAAAAAAAAAAAAAATGCAGAAAGTCTTTGTAAAAGATTATCAGGCCGGCAAAATTTTTTCAAGAAGGTAAACAGTATTCAAGAAGCAGCTACACATGCAAGTTACATTGTAGCATACAATAGTGCTAAAAATAATAAAGCTCTCAGTGATGGGGAGTTCGTTAAACAATGCATGCTCCAAGTTTGTGATGTTTTATTTCCAGACAAGAAAAATAATTTTGAGACTGTAAGCTTATCTCGAAAAACGGTGACTTCTAGAATGGAAGCCATCGATAAAAATTTGGACATCACAATTAGTACAGTCAAAGATTGGTCAAGTTTAAATTTTGCTCCATAGCTCTGGATGAAAGCACTGATATAAATGATACTGCTCAATTAGTATTGTTTATAAGCGGTGTTGATGAGAACTGTTGAAATTAACGAGGAACTGGCGTGAATGCGTTCTTTAAAGGGAACTACAACGGGATGTGATATTTTTCATGAATTTCAGGCAAGGGCTTTTAACTTTGAAAGTGCCTATAACAAATATATGTAATATTACGAGCGATGGAGCACCAAATATGATAGGAAAAAAAATCTGGATTTCTTGGACTCTTTAATCAAAACTATCTCGGGAACAATGTTGTTTTTCTACATTGTGTTATACATCAAGATGCTCTGTGTAAATCTGCATTGAATATGAAACCTGTGCTTGATACAGTCGTGAAGCTTGTAAATACTATTCGATCTCGTGGGCTTACTCACAGGCAATTTCGAGATTTTCTTCAACCCAGTGCAAGTCTGAATACTATGATGTACTGTATTACATCGAAAAGTAAGGATGGCTTAAGTGCAGGATGTGTTTTCGAGCGGGGTTTGGCAGCTTGAAAAGACGACATTGTGTCATTCTTCCATGAGAAACGGTATTCTGCGGAGGGAGTGCAAAATGTTAGAAGACACAAAATGGCTTTCGGACTTTGAATTTTCCACAGATCTTCTTTGTCATATGAACAACTTAAATGTCAAAGATGCGAGGGAAAACTCCAATTTATCGACGACATCTGGGTCACATCTCAAAGCTTTTAAACTAAAATTTAACCTGTTTGCTGGGCAGCTAGGTAAGAACGACCTTATCACATTTCCCGAGGTTAAATTCAAGTACCCTGAAGTTAATGAAGAGAATGCCTCAGTAAATGAAGAGAAGCTTAAGAATTATGAAGATGAGCTTGAAAAAACTGCATTTTGAGTTCGAACGCAGATTTCAAGATTTTCAGTGCCATTCAAACAGAATTGGATATTTTTACCATGCCATTCAACGTAAATTGTGAAGCAGAGTGAGGTCAGATTTGCAAGCTTGAATTAATTGAGTTGCAATCTAACAATCATCTCAAGCAAATTGTTTCTAAATATGCCAGATGTTAGAAGTTTTACAAATCATTATTCGAAAGTAAGTTTCCCAAATTATAATATTTCACACCCAGGAAATCATTGCTATGTTTGCTTCATCTTACTATATGTGAACAAGTGTTTTCAACTATGAACCTTAGAAAGAATTATTTCAGAAGTAGACTCACAGATGAGCATTTAGCCTTGTTCCTTAGAATCAGTACATCTCACTTCGAACCTCAAATAAAGGAACTTTTAAAAATGAAATCGCAATTTCATTCATCTCATTAATATATTAAATTGTAATACTTGTATATTGTTTTTAAAATTTTAGAAAAATTCATCTTGGCCCGCCAAACTTTATTTTTTCGATTTTTGGCCCGCAATCGAAAAAGTTTGCCCATCCCTGCTTTAGAGTATTAAATTCAGCAATATCTGGAATAAATCCTAGAACAATATTTTTCGTAGAAGAGCATCTAAACAACAGGTGCTCAATATTGACATTACTCATGCCACATGGACAGACACAATTTTTAATCGAAAACCTATTATAATAAAAGGGAAAGTGTCCATGATTAGTTAAAGCTTGGTTTATATACTTGTCATTTAGGCATCTTCTCTCACTTACAGTTGAGATTAAATTATATGTGAATCTTCCTTTAGAATCTGGGTCATTCCACTTTCTTTGCTATAGATTCAAACTTTTCTTTTCAACAAGGATTTCAAACTGTCAAAAGAAGTCTTTACTTCAAAATCAATAATTTGATTTTCAGTGGCAGCCTTTGCCAATCTATCTGCTAACTCGTTACCAATGGTACCAATATGACTCTTCGTCCAAAAGTTTAATATCTGTGAAAGCGCTAAGAAAAATGAGCATGTCTTTTATCTGTTTAATTAGATCGTTACTTGGACAACATTTGTAATTGAAAGAACTGTGCTTTCGCAATCACTATAAATTTCTACTGGATCTATTGAAGAATTAGAAATAAGCCAATATAAGGCCTCTCGCAGGGCCACTAACTGTAAAACTGTGTAGCCTGTCATATCGGGGAGGCCTTTATACTAGTTCAACCGTTTCAATAAAGCTGGATGAATGTCTAAACCTTTCTTTAAAGTCAAAATCTCTAGCTGAGAAGATCTCACTGAAAAAATCGACAGTTTTATGACAACTTTTAATTTAAAGATAGCATATTCTTTTTCCGCTAAAATATCAATCAGAGGACATCCAGCCAAAACCTGAAGAGCTACTGAGGAGACAGTTCTAAAACAGTAATCCCCAATAAAACAATTTTTTGAATTTGCAAAATTTTGTTTTGCATTCGGACCGTTCCAGTCCACCATGCACCACATGCATACAAGATCTTTCTCTCAATAGCTCTTTTATATAAACTCTTAAGAACTTCACCTTGGAGATTCATTTTATGAAGTCTATAAGGAATATGGGTTCATTCGATCTTGATTTGATATAGGTGAGATATTTCATCGATCGTAATGCTCAAATATTTGATTGTCTTAGAAACTCTAATTGGTTGTCCATACAGTTTGCACCTAGGATTTTTTGATCTAGTATTAGTTTTGGCAATACCCAATAAAAAGCTCTTCTTTGGATCTAATTTGAGTTTAACATGGAAAGACCTCTTCTTCAATTCTTGAGAGGCGAAACTTAAAGCTTTATCAGTAGTATGGGCACCACTTCCCGTGGCCAATAAAACAAAATCATCATCATAAGCTTGTATATTAACATTTTGTCGTAAGGTTATGTTTAAAGCTATATTAGCAATAATATTCCACAAAAGTGGACCAGATATTGAGCCTTGGGGAAAACCCCTTTGCTAATTTCTATGATGCCACTTATTACAGTCAAATACTGAAAATCCGCTGACCTGAAATTCGCATTGCCTCTCAGAATATAAACATTCAGTTTATAGGTTCCAGAAACTGCAACATTAAAGTACGAAATAACATAGAAAAAAATACTTACTGAATAATGACGTCATAATTATCAAATAATAACGAGTCAAAACGGAAATACCAAATTATTGATATAAAAAGTTAACAAAAATAAGATAAAATAAATAAGAAGTTTTTTCCCCTCTAATCTGCATCGAGGTAAAAAAGCAGACTATTCACTCAAGTCTTTGTTCAAGCTCATGATTCACGTTGTTGTATTTTCTGAGCTTTGTTATTTCATTTCCCGAGATTGTTTAGTGCTACCCTTTTTTTTATCCGGATATTTTGTGGATAAATTAAGAATATTTTAAATTTCAGCCCTTTTTAATACAATGACAGATAAGAAAAGCACTCGTGATTTTACTGCTTGCAACGTTGAAAGACGTAAACATGTTGCATTGACGGTAACGCAAAAAGTGCAAATTCTGCAAAAGATGGAAGTCAGTGCTACTCCTCGATTTATAGCAGAATGGTAAGGAATTGCAACACGAATGCGTATGATATATGGAAAAATAAATAAAAAGCTGTTGAAATTTTACAGCAACAGTGATAAGAAATAATTTTAGTTCTACCGGAATAACTTCGAAACCAGCAACGAGGGGCTAGACGCTTTGCATGAGGCGAAAATCGGCAAGCACCTTGATGCTGATTGTAAAACATAGAGGATACCTAATGTACAATGAATAATATAATCAGTTATATATATGTAATAATAATTTAATGCATATAATAAATTATTGCAATAATGTATATAATAATGTAATTAAATGTATCTAATATGCTTTATTCAATTTGCGTTTTTAGTCTGAATATTATGATTTATCTTTTCTGTCCTGAAATCCGCAAAATCCTAAAATCCTCACAACCTCTGGTCCCAAGCTTTGCGGTTTTCTGGAATTCTACTGTACCATCATATGAGGAAACTTTTCTTTTATTCAGAAAATCACATATTAATAAGAAGAGAACACTCTTTCTAAGCAGAAGCCTTCACATTAACAAAACTGCCATATAAAAACATCAGCCAAACTGCTGACATCAAATTTAGAATGCAGAAAGCACTATCCACCAATCATATAGGCTAACTATATGATAACTATTCTGTTGATAATGAAGACCTGAATGATAAAAATAAAATTATGAAAAATGCTGTAATGGTTCTGAAAGATTCTTGTCTTATAATAGGATAATAAGTATGCACTGTGCTACAGTACAAAGTCCGTAATCCGGATTTGTCGGGACTTCGGCGATTGCGGATTATAGATCATCAATTTAAATCTGGTAAGATGGCATACAGAAATTATACAATTAAAATATGAAACCATAATTTATAAAATAAAGAGCAATTTTGATCTAAAGGGTATCAAAATTTACATTTAAAAAGCTTAATATTTATTTGTTTGCTTTATTAAACATTTCTTTCAATGTAAGTTGTTTAAGTTGCTTTGTTTTTTGTGCTAATACTTTCTCTTTAATTCTATAAACATACATAATTTCTGTGTTCAGTTACAAAGTTCCACTGTTCAAGTCCTGTAACTGCAGTGTCGAGAATACAGGTAATTTGTCGATCGAAATTTTTTCGCTTTCAATAACCTCTAACTTGTCAATCGAAATTTTTTCGTTTTCAATAATTTCTCTGCCACTTTCTTCACTATCGGAAGTGCGCATGGGTAAACGCATGCGCAAACGCTTTACGTTCATCCGTAAATGCATTACGTGCATGTGTAAGTTTGTGGCTTTGAGGTCCGGATTATATATCATACCAGATAATGGACGTTCAGATTACGGACTTTGTACTGTATCTTCAAAAGTGACAAAAAAATACTGCCAAGAAATTTCCAGAAGATTAACCAACTGCAAGACATTTTTGAAGAAAATTAAGGCTTTTTAAATACAATTGATAATAACATGGTTGACAAACCAGAAAAAAATATAGTAGAAAACACATTAATACTCAATTTATTATATTTAATCCATTTAGATAAAACACTTATACTTTCTGTTCTGCTCAACAGCTGACTTCCAGCCAAGACTGTCTCAGTCAGCTTCTACCACCTTGACCCATTCAATGCCACAGTTCTCCACCTACTGACACCAACGTTCCTTAACCACTTTTCCACACTGTCTAGTCATCTCATCCGTGGCCTTCCTCCAATTCTCTTTCCCTCTGGCTTTTGGAATGCTCATTTTTTCATTGGGTTTTCATTTTCATATCTGTATATATGCTACAGAGTGATGTAAAATGTTACAAAGTGTGTCCTTGAAGAGAGATGTGTTTAATTGATGATGTTAAATGATGAATTTAAAGGTCTATTGCCAATTCATTCCTGATAATGTTAGTAATTTTGTTTCATATTTTACATAGTCCTTGTCTTCAAGAAAAAAGGCCTTGATGATAGATTTGAGATCCATTGGGGTTTAAACACAAATGAAATCCATGGTAATTCTATTTTAATGTTATAACTTAGAGCAGGAGTTGGCAGTCTTTTAGTCCTTGAGGGCACAAAATAAAATTTTTAGTTCTTAGCGGGTGCCACCCATGCAAGTGTCAGAATCAAACATCAAATGTCACATTTCAAACTAGTTTTCTTTAAAAGATATAACTTTATAGAACTTAACAACAAATATTTATAATTTACACTCATTAAATATATATTTTTTAATATATCAATATGAAATTTATATCTGTAATTTGTCTGCTAACTTCTTATAATTGACAATATAATTTAAGTTGCATGTTTTTAAACAATTATCTCACGAGATCTCGTATGCTTTGCAAGTATAAAATGGTAACTAGATCTAAAGGCATTAGCCTTGCGACTTCTTGCACAGGCTTCTTGTACATGAAGATGATTACAGCAGGGAAAGAGTGTAAAAGACCCTTTTATTTATCACAAACTGTTTAACAGAAAGCATGAATTTATGTGCTTACACAAACACTGATCTAGTGGTGAGAACTAAAAAGCCATTTAACAATAAATTTAAAAGTAGAAATATAGTGCTAGATAACACAATTCAATTTAATCTAACAGGCTGACTCAGAAGCCTACACTGGAGATATACTAAATAGATAGCCTGAATACGTAGCCTCTACTAAGATTAACAGCTGGGGAAAAAATAGCAAACATGCGCTTCACTGATGAAATCATGCTCTGCACCTTTTTGTTTCAACAGTTTAAATACTCTCATTCACGAACCTCATTTTTATCCTGGTGAGAAAATGCAAGGGAAAATAAGTGATTTCAGAAAAGGCTTACAATTTAAAGTAACTGTTAGTAAAACAAAACAGGACCCTATAATCTAGGTGCAAATCAATAAGTTTTTAAAGAAATTTTGACATCAGATAAATCATATTCAAAAACACTTTCAATTATAGGTATTTGAGAAAAAGGAATTAATGTTTACTGGAAATAACTTTAAAATATGATACCAATTTCTGTTTGCAAACATCTTATTAGTTTCCTAAGATTTTAAAATAACATTTTTGTTAACAAATTAATTTTTTTATTGTAAATTTTCTATACTGTTAAGATGAAAATAGTTAAAAATTGCTGTAGCCACATTTTCTCCATAAGTAATATTACATGGATTTATAAAGAAAATTTAAATAAGCTCTAAGTTCACAAAGTCAACAAATCTAGAATCAAATTCAATTTGCAATGCAGACACAATCTGAAGCTATGAGCCTGTACTTTTTTTTTTTTTTTTTTTTTTTTTTTTTTTTGTGTGTGTGTGTGTATTGGGGAAATGCATTAACGATTTTTGTATGAGATGAGACCTATACAATTCTAACATTGACTTGAAGCTATTGATATCACGGCATCAGCAACATATTCCCTGCCCTATAATTTTAAATTTAGCTCATAAAATTTCAACGTTAAATCGGTCAAAAAAGCCAAATTTGTTAACCAGTTTTTGTCTTTTCCAGCTGCTCATAGTGCTTTTTTTGGGATGTTAGAAACTCTTTTATTTGTGGCAAAAAACTGATAAATCGATCAAAGCATGTTTCCCTTGTTCAGCAAATGAATTTCAGGATGCAAAAGAAGATTGGTAAATTGTGTATCTTCATCTTTTTTCAAAAAGCAGTTTAAATAATCTATGTTGCATTCCACTTGCCTCCATTACTGAACTGATTATTTTTGTAACAACAGCGATTAGATCTTGGAATTCAGTGATTTTTGCACACAATGACTGCTGGTGTATAATGCAGTGATATACAATAATTTTGGAAAAAAAGGATCTTGTTGGCATAAATCAATGAATCCAATATTCTTTCCTGTCATGGCTTGCACACCATCAGTTGTTATTGAAGATAATTTCTCAATCAGTATTTTAGCATCAATCAAAAACATTTTATTTGCACAAAATAAATCCTTTCATCATGTGCAATCTTAAAGCAGTAGAATTTTTAGAAACTTCACTTCTATGGCAAAATTGTCAAAGGTCATCTTGGCACTTATTACCAAACATGCTATATCTGTTATATCTTTGAATTTGTCCACGTGTAAGGAAAAAAATGCACATTTGCTCAAAACTGGGTTAACTGGACCCAGTTTTATGGTTTATAAACTGAATTCCTAGGTGGCCTGCAAATGTTTCAATTCTCCTTGAAACAGTTCTAGCTGACAACTGAATGGCATTTATAGCCAAAACAATTTCCTTTTTATTTTTAAAATCTTCAGATTCCAACATTGCTTTTTTTATTATTCTTCCATCAATACATACCCCCTTTTTTTTTTCCTTCTTAGCCAAGTATATGCAAAACTTTAATCTATGAGATCGTTGCTGCCTTTGATGTTATACACTATATGCTTACATTAGTTATGATCTAATTTAAAATGTACTTAGGAAATAAACAATTTTAAATCACATTAAATGATTAACAACAACCTTTATCAGAAGATGTTATTTCTGGTGTCTGAATATCTTCTTTCCTCCTTTTTACATCTTTAACTGGTGGAGATGTAGAATGCGTTCGTTTGCCAGTTGCTTTTGCTGCAGGTGGCAGTTTAACCTCTGGGATTTCCTCTTTACGTTTACCACGATCTTTCCTGACATTTCTTGTCTTTCTATCTTCTAAACTCTGAAATATTGTTTATAATAATAATGATCATGAGAATTTTACAATATTAAAAATATGATTAACATGATAATATTCTAAAATTAAAAATTTGAATTGTAACTAATTTCTAAATATTTGTTGGTTCATAACTTTTAAAAGAAGCTTTTTTCTTATATCCAAATGAAGCACCTGCAATTTAAAACGAATTTTCCAAAATATGTAAAAATCTGATGTGTACACCACATGACTTCCTTGTACAGAATATTAAATTATATGCATTTTTTCTTGCATTTCATTTAAACTTATTGGATTGAATTAAATCTACTTCGCCGACAGAGCATAAACCACAATAGAATAAATGCATTCTTTAAAATTCACTCTATTTGTTTACCATAATGACACTCTGGCGCTAGATTCACTTAACAGTATTATATTTCGTTCATATTATAACTCAGAATGCACAAAATTTATATCATTTAAAGAATTATCTGATCGTTGCCACATGTTCTGTTCAAATACTATAATAAAGCTAGAACGATGTATAAAAGAAATTAAGCAAACAAAACAAAAAAGAAACAGTTTTTCACAGACGATTGAGTATTTCCCATTCAATTAATTCAGTTTCCACTTCGCAACAAGGCAAAAATACATAAAAACTCAAAACATATGTATTAAAAATTACGAAGTAAATCTTAAACACTTATTTCCTCGAAAAAATTCCAGAAAGGATTAAGCATTATTTAACTGGCAATAATAAATGAAGGCGTTATCTTTGTTGTTGCGAAGCTAACTTTCTCTAGATTGGCAACAAATCCACTAGTCTGCTGTTTCAAATGTAAATGAGCAATGACCGCCATCAAAAAAATTATTAGGCTTAGTGGCACTTAAAAAACTTTAAAATTGTTCGTAATTCTAAAAATATTGCATACAGATTTACTAAGGGGCATAAAAACCTTAACCGGAAGATAAGAACAACATAATTCAATCATTTTTAAAGCAAAAAATGTACAATTTAAGAACATATAAAAGTAAAGATCACTGAGCCGGGTAACAGGCTGGATATATATATATAAGCATATTTATATACGTTTGGTGCAGCTGATTGCAACCAAAATACGAGGTGCACATCTACATGTTATAGCAGTTCTATATACAAAATTTCAAAGTTCTGAGGCTACTCGTTTTTGAGTTATGCGAGATACATAAGTACGTACGTACATACGTATATACGTTCGTACAGACGCCACGAAAATTTCTCTTCAGAATTCATTTTAAAGCAGTTTTATAATACTTTTGGAGGAAAAGAGTCTTTTATTCTGTTCTTACGTACAGCCATCACGCAAAAACATCGTTAAATTGCATTCGATAGTGGTCAAAATGGATATTTTCATTCAAATATGATGCCTGAAACTTCGTGATTACAATACTTCCTTATTACTTCGTACAAGGAAGTAAAAAGGATATTCAAAAACTAATATCTTTACTCTAATTCTTCACTATAACTTTTAAATGCATTACTTTCAATTTTTATCAAGAATAAACATAAATTAAATATTCTTAAAAAATTAGCTCCGAAGAAAGAAACAAACAAAGATCGTAAATCATTTCTTTTTTAAAACAAAAGCTTCTTAATAGTACACTATTATTATTACTATTTAATTTTTAAGTTAATCAAATTTGAAATAACACCACAAGTTAAAAGTCTAAATTGTAACTTAATGAGCAAATGAGTCGACTTTAGGGTATCCTTTGTATTATCATGAAATTGTTTCATTTATCGCCAAGTTGTTGTCTCATTTTATAACAACCTGAGTAGTTGAAGTCTATGGAAACCCTATTCTGACATAATTGGTTGCGGCGAATTTGAATCATGGGAAAAAATTCGGAAAGCGTGTGTCAGATTTGGGGTAAGGGCTTGTGTGTGACCACCAAAAATCGCCAAGTTACACCAAGGGGTACCCTAAAATATACTTTTACCAGCAAATCTTATACAGTTATTGATTACATGAGTGAAAGATTACACTTTTACACATATAATCAATCTAACTGTAAAGTAACACAGCTGGCAAACTAACAGTATTGGCATGGTTAATAGCAAAACCAATAAAATATAATAATATTTTTAATAATTTTATCTACAAATTATTTTTTTCCTCAGACATTTCTCTGTAGTACTATTTAGCTAAGGGAATATTGACATTTACTACATTACTTTAGTTTGGAACTAGGTGGTAACCATATCAAACATTTTATTAAGCTTTTTTAATAGTGGCATATGGAAATTCATATTTAAAAAGAAAAGAGAAGTAATATTTGAAATTTATTCAACACAAAAGAATATTATATTACAGCCAAAGTAATAAGATTTTTTAATATAAATAGAAAATATCTTAAAGGATCTAACCTTACTGTTTCAAGCAAATACTTTTTCCCCCTTCCCCCATCGGCCAGACATTTGCTAATTCAGCATTTGCCAGGAATCATGAATGAACTTTCAGGTCATTTAGATGTCCAATTTCTGAGAAAATGCCCAAGGAACATCACAGAACTAATATTACAGTCCCAACAAGAAGGAAAGGCAATATGTATAAAGACAAGCTTTACATGGGAGTCATTTTATATCCTTGGAATTATGCTAGCAAACAGCCTCTACTAACTATTATATTGTTCACCAACAAGGATGACCATTGACCTGACATTTAACTGAATGTCTTCCTGTGTATTGCTATCCTGGTAGATGGAAAATTAGAGCATGAAAATGGCAGTGTTAATTATTGCAACTAATTAAGACTTACAAAATACAGGACCTACACAAGGTTCTGGTGAGTACATTCATTGTATAAACTAATACACTCATTGCTTGTTTTCATAGAATATTTATATCAGCTTTAACGATTTTGATGTGCATCCATATGCACCCAACAATCCTGATTAAAATTTTGTACATGGCGAGATGAGTTCAAGCAAAAAGAGTGTGAAACATTTTACTGTTCAATATTTACAGTTCTGTTACAGAGATCAAGGCAACATATTTATCAGTAATACTGTAAATGAGTGCACCACTAAAAAAAATTATATAATTTAAAAGAGAATAGAAAATCACACAGCAATGAAACCAGAAACTTTCAATGCTTTTCTTACGAGACATTTTCATTTACAATAGATGATGCAACAACCGCAAAGTCATCAAGTATAAACTACAGTTACAATAAATTTGAAGAGAGTAAATCAAATGACAATTTCTCCCTGACGAAAAGGTACAGGAGATGTAAAATCAATATGCCTTTATTATTTTTTTCCCTATTCTACTGTGGTAATTTTTGGTATGAATTTTATTTTTACATGGTGTTAATGTGTCTGGAAATTTGGAACATTTCTCATTTACTAAGTTATTCTTGCATTCTGCATTTGAAAAAAACTTTTTTGGAACAATTCATTATTTCTGTACAGAATATGGTTTTATGATTTTGAATATATACTTAATGTTTTAAATACAGAGGCTGTTTGCACATTTTTTTAGACCATTTTGCTTTGCTATTAAAAATAAATCGTCTGCTTGGATTTTTTTTTTTAAACCTGCAACTATATTTTTGAACATATAAATTATCGGCTGCTACTTCACAACTTTGTTTTCATACAAAATGGACCTTTTAAAGAAGTGATAGATGGAAGGCTATGTATGTGCTCTTTCTAGAAAAAATTATCTATCTATTAAAAATTGGTGTGAAAGCCATGGTTCATTGATATCTAAAGCTATAACAGATAATCTTATGAACAAGAAAGGAGAAAAAAATGTCAAAGTTTGGCTTCAAGTGAAAAAATCTGAATACATATCCATGGTAAAAACGGAAAGTTTCGAATGTTGCAAAGGTAAAAATCTTTAATGTTAAAAGAAAATATCCAACTCAAAGGACAGTTTCAAAATCATTAATTCAGTGTCAACTGTAAACAAAGCAATCATTACTGATTTGAAGCTTAAAAAGGCAAAAAACATAATGTGAATTATCTTTCTCTGTGGTATATCACCAAACGCAGAACTCGCTACAGAATTCTTCATGAAAAAAATTTATCTACACAAAAATGAAAAATGTTGTCACAATAGATGAATCTTTGGTATATTTAAATGACTGCAATAAAAAAAAATCATTTATTATAATCAAAGAGGAGAAAAACTCTTAAACCGTGGTTTAGAGAATCTAAAAGTTTTTCAAAGGGATTTATGATTGTTGCTGGTTCTTCATATAACAGCAAATTAAAAATAAGACAGTGGAGAAAAACATTAAGATCAACTTCACTAAGGAACATATTTTATACCCAATTTTCAAATATGAAACACCTTTTCTCTACCCACACTGCCTTCAATCAGTACAGCTGCATCAAGACAAAGCAAGCAACCACACATCAAAATCCACTCTTAATTTTCTGGGGAAATGGAAAATGAAATGGGTATCAAGGCCATACCTTTCATTCATATCCCTACTAAATCTCCTGATGTTACCCATAGATTTTTGCATTTCTGAACTATTAAAAAATGTATTGTATAAATGCCGACCTACACCCCTCTTTGAACTTTGGAAAGCTGTTTAAGAGGAATGGGATAAAATACCTCTTCTGATAATACTAAAGGTTTTATCATCTTGGAAATTACAATTTACAAAGATAGTGAAGAGTTATCAAACAGAGCACTGAAAACACAAAAATTTTACGTAAATTATTTCTGTAAATACTATGAAAATTATCCAAAAAATGTGTGAATAGCCTTTGTGTGTATATATAGAGAGAGATATGTACATGTTGAATAAAAATTAAGATGTTTGAATCTTTTTTTAAATTTCATTAAGATTAATTTGCCACAAATTAAAAAAGTTTTTCCTTTTACAACTGTTTTGCACATTCCAGGATAGTTTAATCTTTTTCTTTAAAAAAAATTGGTTAAATTTTCAAAACATTTTTACAATCTTAGCTGCTTCAACACAAGTGTTATTATCTTATGTCTAAAATCATTTTATATTAGTTATATATATGCTATCCAATAAACCCTTCAAATACTTCTACAACTGTGACTAATCAGTTCAGGCCTATTTTATCTTCTCTTTAATTTTTAACATCAAACCTACAGCCCCTTTTTTTTATTCAGTGCTAAATTAAGCTCTATAGTTCAAGATTAAACAATTACATAATAAGCATTTGGTATAAGAGATACACGATAGCTCTGATTTCAGTGACATGAGCTGAATGAGCCTTTTTCGGCATGCAGATTTCTTTACTTTTGTTTGTTTTTTTTTAGGCACAGAACAGTAAATGACCTGGATGAAACAGAATCATCAAAAATACTTTCAAGCTTCTATGAGGTATCCGCTTTCCTTGACACTTGTTTTACCTAGCAGATTCAATAATACCGTATTTATGCGAATCTAATGCGCCATCGAATCTAATGCGCATCCCCATTTTAAAACTTTAAATAATAAAAAAATTGTTTGTCGGCGAATGTAATGCGCATCAATGATATGAGGAATTTATTGAATCTTATTTTATACAACAATGGGTTTGTATATAAACTATCAATTAATGGTATGATAATTTTATTTAAATTTAGATACCATATTTTATACAACAATGGATTTATACATAAAGTAGCAGAACATAGAATTAACTTATTAGTGGGCAATTGTTATGTGAAACAATCATTGCTAATTACTACTACCGTATATCCATCCACGGCTAGCCTTAAACTCTTGTTTCGGTATTCCAAGAACTTCAGCCTCCTCTTTTGCTTTATTTCTCATTGGTGTCACTAGTCACAGGTTGTCCATTCTTCCTCCTTTCACGTACAAATTCCAAAACTTTTTCTTCAATTTTAGGGTGTCTTCCTTTGCGAGGGCCAGTGAATTTCTTTCTACTAGCTTTAGTTGCAAACAGTGCCAATTTCTGTTGCCCCCACAAGCGAACATTGCTCTCAGTTACGTTGAACTCTCTCCCTGCCTTTCTATTGCCATTTTTTTAAGCACAAAGAATTACTTTATGTTTGAAAGTAGCATCATATGACATTCTTCTCTGTTTGCCCTCCATTTCGTGACTACGTACTCTGCAGTTTGTATCCTCTATGCAATAATGTGTCAACGATAAATGTAATGGTAAATGTAGTCGAGAAATACAGTAATTCGTTGTTACGATTTAAATTTGGTTGACGCCATCAGCGAACTGCTGACGTCATCGGCGAACTTTGCACTCGAATCTAATGCGCACCCCAATTTTGAATACTACATTTGGCCAAAAACGATGCGCATTAGATTCGCATAAATACGGTAATTTTTGTTTATTCTTCCCCCCCCCCAAGGTGTCTTCTTCCAAGAAATAAATATTCCCTCTTTCGCTCAGAAATTTATGTAACAGCTATACAGAACTTCATACTAAAATTACCTTCATCTGTTTTAAATCCATTATGTTCTGAATGTGAGTTCAATTACCTACCGTCATTTCCATCACTATCACTGTGATTGCCAAAAAATACTATCATTACCTTCATCATTTTAAAAATCATGCTACTCCTTCCAAATCATAGTAGTTATTTACATAAAATTTACCTTCTAGTCATTACTAAAATTCCAGATAACATAGTTTTGAAAAGCTTACACAATTAGATATATCCGAAAGGTAGACAACAACAGAATGAAAAGAAAAGTGTTTTGAAACAACAAATAAAAATCATTATATTTCTAAAAAAAAAAAAAAGGATATTTTCAACCAACCTTTTCTAATTTCAAAGAAACTGCAAAAATATGTGCAGTATATTCACAGAAAACAAATTAAAAAGAACTATCTAATTCATAATCAGCTAGCTATTTGTTTTCCTACACGGAATACTTAAAAGATACACATTGATATGTGGCTATAATATTTTTGCTCAATTGCCTCTCCTGTTTAAATATAGAATCTCCCATCTAAAACTTTAAATTTTGTGGAATAAGCATTTATATATATATAGAGAGAGAGATAGATAGATATAGATATAGATATAGATCTACTGTTATAACTGCTAAGCATTTTAAGAAATATTTCTTAAATGCTACACTTAATAATAAAGTAACTCAATCTAAGTACATGTCCAAGTCATTATTTTATATTTGCTATAAAAACATGCACAGACAAAACATAGTATCAGTTTAGATGAATCTCAGAAAGAAAAAAAGCATAAAATTTAGTAAACGAATATATTTTTAATGCTTCCACAACCTCCTTATTACACTATGTAAGTATGAGAATGTCATCTGAGAAACATAAATTTGACCATAATATTTTTTCACATAAAATCTAAATAGATTCAGCACATAATTCGATATAATACTGGCTAAGATTTGTTTAAGCAGGATTTTGTCTTTATTTTTGCATCTCATAGAATATTGTTTGGTAAGCATTGATCATGACAGTATGCCTTTTTTAAGCATCAAGCAGATGCATATACATCCTTCTATAAAAAAATTGTTCAGCATAGGTAGTCCTAGAATGCAAAAGAGCATAAAATGTAAATGTATGGATCCTATCATGTCAGAGATGAAATCTTATCTTTAAAAAATGAAATGCAATTCACAGAAATACTTTGAAGAGTAAATATCTCATGTATATTAAAAATTATCACATTATAATTACAAAATGCTTTGTAAAAAATTTATATTAAATTTAAAAAAAATAATGGTTCTAAACCAACTTTTTGAGAATCGTCGTGTCGGTTTTCTACAGTTCTATTATCATGACGACCTCCACGTTCACCCCAAGAGCCACGATTTCCCCCAGGTCCTTTAGGTGGAGATCTTGATCTACCTTCACCTCTTCCCAATTGTCTAAAGCAAAGGAAACAGGAAAATTTCAAGTACATCCACTTTCTTACAACAAAGTAGTAATTATAAAGTAGCCACGAAATAAATTAATTTAAATTTAAAAAGCAAATATAACCAATTAAAAGACACATTCATTATATGTATTTATTTTACTAACTAGTACTATTATCTTTTTAAGAAAAAAAAAAGTTTACAAAAAAGTACAAATGATAAATATCAAAATACCGAAGCAAAACTGTTATAAGAAATTGTAAGCAAGAGTGACACAATCTTTCCACCCCCTCTCTCTCTTTAAAAAAAGGGGGGAAGAAGACGAGAGAGAAGAAAAGAAAGAGAGAAATATCATAGGAAATGAAAATAATCAGTGCACAAGAAATTTAAACAGAGATATAAAAAATGACTCTATGTGACTTGTTTTCCTAGGGAATAGAAACATGCGTCATTAATTCCTACATAACATGCTACACTATAAATACATGATGAGCTGTATTACAAACTTCACAGATTTAGTAATAATAACAGATGCCACATGTTAAGTCTTTAAAGCACTTATATTCTATTCCAAAAAAGTCTGAGGTACTGGCAGTGAAAGTAGTAAGAAATAAGCTGACATCTGTGCAATCTATAACGCACATTACATAATTTAGGCATCACGATTTTGAATTACTGCCTTTGATTTAGAAAAATTTGAATACACTTTTTATTTTAATAGTTTTTTTGCCAAAGTCATTTGTTGCTCCAATTTTACAGCAGTCAGAATATCTTTTTTAAATAAATATAATCAGTAAAGCTTTTTATCATCTTTTGATAATTTACAGATTTCTAATTTATTGAGAATTTAAATCATTCCCATTCTGAATCCAGCCCATAATCTGTAAATCTTATGTGGATCATAATGAAAAACTGATTAATTAAATCACCCATTTTATTAAGTAAAGAAGACTTATTAAAATCAATATATATTGATTATATTTTCTATAGGATACACACACATATATATATATATATACATATTGATTATATTTGCTATTGCTATAGGATATATGAATACACATACAGTCAAAAGTCGTTAATATGGACTCGTCGGGACTTAGGCAATTCCAGATTATCGATTTTTCCGGATTATAGATCATCAGTTTAAATCTGGTAAGATGGCATGCAGAAATTATAAAATTAAAAATATGAAACCATAATTTATGAAATAAAGAACAATTATGATCTAAAGGGTCTCAAAATTTATAAAAAGAAAAAGCTTAATATTTATTTGTTTACTTTATTAAACATTTCTTTCAATGTAACTTGTTTAAGCTGCTTCGTTTCATGTGATAATACTTTCTCTTTAATTCTATTAAACAGACATAATTTCTTATTTAGTTACAAAGTTCCGCTGTTCAAGTCCTATAATTGCCGTGTCGAGAATACCGACTAATTCGTCAATCGAAATTTTTTCGTTTTCAATAACCTCTGTGTCACTTTCTTCACTATCGGAAGCAAATTATAATGACGAGGACCTTGATTTAAATCATATCAAACACAGAGTATATCGAGACCAAATACTACATTTAGTAAGGAATTATAAGCCAAGTAAAATAAAAATATCTGCCCTGGAGATAAGGATAGTGTTGACAGATCAACTTCCAACTCATTGCGCGCCACGACGTAGCCCCCCCCAGAGCAGCGTGAAATTGATAAACAGATTTCCGAATGGTTAGATAATCTTTATCCATTTTTTTGCAGCAATTCTACTTTTTGTTTAAAGGACTTCAAAACATACTTTCGCTTTGTAGATCCTTTACATATTAGTAAATATATATCGGAAATTCTATTTGACATAATCGAAGGTTCAAGCTTACTTTTATAAAATTGCTCTAACAGTCTGCAAAAAATAATAAGCCGGATCCAATTCGAAGATTAAGGAACAACGCAATCTGCAACATTAACTGAATTAGATAATTTTAGCTTAGCCTATACCATCCGTTTTACATTAAACGCGCATGCGCACACACATTTTCGCAGCCATAAAGGTCTTACGCACACGTGTAAATGCCTATGCGCATGCGTCAACTCGACGCATACGCAGAAAGTTTGTAGCTTTGAGGTCCGGATTACAGATCATTCCGGATTATGGGTGTCCTAATTAACAACTTTTGACTGTATATAAATACACATTCCAGAAAAATGGCTGTGTTGAAAACTTTTTGGCTATTCCTGGGGAGGGCGCGGGGAACCAAAGAAGTTTTGACTATTTGTTATATTATTTTTACTATGGTATTTTATCAAGTTGTTTTGTTTTTGATTTAATTTTGTGCATGTTAGATTGTTAACCCTCAATTTTGATTTGATTATTTAATTAATTTTGCAGCATACTGAATGACTTTATTAAGTTACGATCTTAATTTTGAAATTTTTAATTCTTATTTCTATTTATATTTATGTGTGTGTATGCATATATATTTATGTGTGTGTATATATATACACAGCCATTTTCCTAGTACCAAATTTACAATTGAAAAAATCACAAATGCATTAACTGCTAGCATTAAATATTAGAAGATTTCAAGCCTTAATTTTCTTGTTTAAGGAATATTTCGTTTTTAAAGATTTTAGAAGTTAAAAAGATGTGTACATATTCTTGAATATTAAAAACAGAATTTCTAAGATTAAATATTTTTCGACAGTGTTCGAGTTTATTCATATTTTCGCTGTAAATAAAGGAAATTTATTTCACTTATTTATCAATTTAAGCATTAGAATACATATCATTATCATATTTATCTGATATAAATTTGCCATATATCATATTTATCTGATATAAATTTGCCATATATCAGATAAATAAGCAGAGAGTTTTTAGCAAATATTTTACTTCTAAATCTTGGGGCTCAGTTTATATACAAATTTAAAATGAATTGGAAATAAATTTATTAGGAAAACGGCAACACAAATTTCTCCTTTGGCAAATCTGGGCAAATATCATTCTCCACTTGATCAACAACATTGTTATTATCTATCTAACAGAAAACCTCCTAAATTTGGTTCATAGCATTGCTCACCAAATGTGATAATTTAAGACTATCAGAAAATACAATACTTTTTAGTTAGTATTTTAGTTTAGTACAATACTTTATAGTAGCAGTTTCCGCTACATATCAGTAAGGAAGTATTATGTTTTACTCAAAAAAGCGATGCCACCCATTAAACATCAAATCTCATAGTGCAAACTTGGTTTTATTTAAAAGATATAACTTTAATAAACTAAATAACAAATATTTATAATTTACACTCTTTAGCCCTTTTGACAAAAGTTTTACATGATTAAAATTTAACTATGAAAAGTAGTTTAATTTAATGTTGATATACTAAAAGAAGTGTAATACGAGTTTAAAGATTTTAACTTTTCCCATTTCCTGGAAATTTCCTTGGACAATATGTCCTAATCGATTGTCAATTGGGACTATTTGACCCAATCCTCTAGGATATTACCCTTTCTCAGGAAACAAAATTAAAATTTACGGTAATATATAATGTAAATATTACAAAACATAAACTCTGTCACATGCACTAGTTCATATACAACAGAAAGTTTCATATATTTTTCATAAACTCAAACATAATATATCAACATGTAGTAATTTGATCACTGATGGGACATATTAGCCCACTGATAAATACGATTGGGACAGTAACATCCCATAAAAAGAATTTATTTAAAATGTTCTGAAAAAAATGCGCAAATCTAAATTTTTGAATTTCTCTGTAAAGTTTGCATCAAATTTTACAAAATTTAATATTTAGGCATAATTTGAATCAAAATATGGAAAAAAATCAGTATGTTATTTCAGAAAAAGACCCATTTTGTATCAAAATACCTATGTTAAAACAACGCTATATATAAATCTAATGCATATCCTAAGTCGTGCTTTCGAGACATGAAAAATGCAATTTGAATTTTGTCAATCGACCTAGTAGAACGGGAGATATAAAACTGTCCCTTTTTTTTTCCACAATGTACATAATACAGTGATACCTCGACATACGAGTTTAATTCGTTCCGTAACCTTGCTCGTATCTCAAAGCAATTTTCCCCATTGAAATTTATTGAAATGCCATTAATCCGTTCCAGCTCCCAAAATACCACCTCAGCTGTTTTTGTTAAGTGTTTTTGAATAAGAAAAATGTATTTACAAGAAGAAACATTTATTTACAAATAACAAATACATATACTATAAAAACATAATTGAAAGAAAAAGTGAAGTGCTTACGAAGCGCTTAATTTTCGTCACTGATCTTCGCCTTTTTTTTGTTACGCTTTGCTCATTGTCACCTGCAGATCGTTTAAAAAAACTGTCCAAGGAGGTTTGTTTCTTCCTCCCTTTCAGGATATTGCGGAAATGAGATAGGCAAGTTTCGTTGAACAACTCCAATGCATGACCAGTTGCAACTTTTTCGGGGTGATTTTTATCCACGAACTCTACAACTTTCTTCCACATTCCCAAGATCTCCTTTATATCTCTTGTAGGGATAACCTCCTCCAACTCTGACTCCTCTTCAAAACTAATTTTTCGTTGAACCATCGTATGCTGCTGCGAATGTAGATTGTGTAACTCCTCGGCTGTCAGCTCTTGAGACTGTTTCTCGACGAGTTCGTTCACATCTCTCTCATCCACCTCCAGACCCATCTATTTTTCGAGAGAAACAATCTCCTCTACCACTGACACTTCAGATTCCAATCCTTTGAAGGCCTTTTCAGCTACAGCCTCAGGTCACAATGCAGAGGTTAAGGTCCTCGTTGTAACACCCAACCATGCCTGATCAATAATTCTTAGGCATATCATGATGTTAAAGTGGTCCTTCCTGAACTCTCGAAGGGTAAGGTTTGTGTTCTCCGTCACCTCAAAGCAGCACCGAAAAATGTGCTTGGTGTACAACTTCTTAAAATTAGAAATCACCTGCTGATGCATGGGCTGCAGGATAGGAGTGGTGTTGGGTGGTAGGTAGAGAACGTTCATAAACTTGAACTCTTCGAGATTTGGTGGGTGAGCAGGGGCATTGTCGAGGACGAGAAGGGCTTGCATGGGTACGTTGTTTTCCTGTAGATATTTTTTAACAGAAGGGCCAAACACCAGGTTTATTTACTCCACAAAGAATTTCCTGGTGACCCATGCCTTCGGATTCGCCCTCCACATAACTGGCAGTTTTTTTTTTTTTTTTTAAAATCTTATGTGACTTAAAGGCTCTGGGATTTTCCGAATGGTATACTAGCAGAGGGTTGATTTTGTAGTCGCCACTCGCATTGGCGCAAAGTGCTAGAGTTGATCTATCCTTCATGGGTTTGTGACCTGGCATTGTCTTCTCCTCTGCCATTATGTAAGTCCTATTCGGCATCATTTTCCAGAAAAGCCCTGTCTAATTACAGTTGAAGACTTGCTGGGGGATGTATCCTTTGGCTTCTATCAGTTCGGAAAACGTTTTGATGTAAACCTCAGCTGCCTTCACATCCAAACTTGCTGCCTCACCTTGCCTGACGACGGAGTGAATGCCGGTCCTTTTCCTAAAGTTGTCAAACCAGCCCCGACTGGCTTTAAACGAGTCTTCCGATTCCTCGTTTGTGGAAGTGTGTAGGATCTGCTTCAGCAAATAACCGTAAATCGCTCATGCCTTCTCACATATGATGCTTTGTGTTAAGGTTCCTCCTTGAAGCTGATCTGTCACCCACACCATCAGTAGTTTCTCCATCTTTTCATGGAGAGAGGTCTGGAGCTTAGAAATTATTGTAATGCCCTTAGCTGGCGTTATACCCTTTATCAACTCCTTCTGTTTAAGCACAGTACATATCATTGATGTGCTACGCTCGTACATCCTCATTAAGTCAATTATTTGCAAACCTTGCTCATGTTTTTCTATGATTTCACGCTTTAATTCAATAGACATCATCTTCTTCTTCGGACCCATGGTTATAAAAATAAATGTGATAATGTTTTGTAAATGTACAAAAAGCAAAAAACGAAAATCCAACTAGTAAAAAATGCTTCGAAAACGAGAGAAACAAGCACACAGACTGAGGTCTAGTCTGAGGTGGGAGAAACTGTTAGACGCTGCACACGACACCAACATGCGTGCATGTTGCGGTCATGTGCAGCGGTGTAGTGTACGATTCTTCGTATTTCAAATCTTGCTCTCATCTCAAAGCAAAATATTGCTCGCTTGGTGCCTTGTATCTCAAAACACTTGTATATTAGGGCACTCATATATTGAGGTACCACTGTATTTTAATTAATGGTAGAAAAGAATTTAAAGTATTTTTGTACAATATTTCAAATTCATATTTTAAAATGGTTTAAAAATTAAAAATAGATATCTTAAATTAGAACTACAAGAAAAACTTACACAAATTTAAACAAAAAAAAAAAAAAAATAAAAAAAAAAATAAATAAATAAAAAGCTGCAGCAATCATGGTAAAAATTCACAGTTTCTGAATTCCTAATACCCTTTACAATCATCAAAGCAAGTCATTTCACCACAGAGAGAGATTAACTTTTAAACATATACCTATGATTCAAAGGGCCCATTGAGGGATCCCTATCATCAAGTCTACCTCGTTGCCAATCTGGGGAAGCACGTCGTCGTCTTGGCATGCCATAGCGATCTTCATCAAGAGCTAAAAAATATAAAAAATATTAACGAAATTATTCCAAAAATAGAATTTTTTTTTTATTTAGAAAAGCTGTAAACGATATTTTGATTGTAATAAGCTCATTAATTCAAATATTTGAATTTGAAATGCAAAATTGAGGGATACAAAATTGGACCTTTTCTGAAATGAAAGTTGAACTGCTAAGTTTTGCAAAAACTGCACAAGTAGTTTTTAAAAAATTAGCTCTCCAAATTTTAGCTCCTCAATGTTAATTGAATTTAATATATATTTATTAATATCTCTTTTTTTTTATTAAACTTACTTGATTCCTTCTTTCAGAATTTAAATTTTAGTCCAAACATAATTTGCAAATTTTTATGATTTACTTTTAAAATTTGTATTTTTAAATGTTTTTTATAAATTTCGAAAAGTATTTTGTATTATAACTTATAAAATTTTTAACATCATCTTAAAGTTGATGTATTTCTAGGCACACCTGAATATAAGTATAAATAGTATTAAAATATATCACAACAGACTTATAAAGGGCCCCATATCTCAAATAGCTTTGGGCCTTATCTAGTCTAAATCTGGCTCAGCATATCACATGCTACACACACACACTAAAAAGAAATATTGCAGTTCCTAATAAAGTAGCCCTTAAGCAATTTACATAGTCAATTTAGATAGAATTAAAATTATTACAAAACTAACTACTCACTAACTGCAGTCTTAGTGTACAAATGAGATATGATTGCTCACATGGATGGTCTCTACCTGTAAACCCTAATCAAAGCAGCCATCAACACATAAACAGCCTAACTGTAAAACCATATAATACTAGATGGTATTTTGTTAAACAATATCTCACCCAATGAACATGATCACGTAATTATCAAATTATTTTAATTATATGTTTGCGCTAAAATATCATTTTTCTGTTAAAATGACCAATGAGAAAATGGATGATTTGCATTGAATTCAAATTTAAGTTCTGCAAGCAAACACAAAGAATGCTTACTAAGAAAGTAGTAATAATGGATCAAGAAGCATGCTTCTCGTACTTTATATCTTTGAAGAACTCCTTTATATTAAAAAATATATTACTCCTTTATATTAATACTTTCTTTTTTAATGCTGGGAAATTTGCATTCCCCCTTGCGTCTGCACAGTGATGAAAAGGAGAAAAGTCTAGGGTAAAAGGCATGAAACGTGCAAATACTGTGTATGTCCTGATGTGCCTATCTGAGGTGTGAGTCATCCAGGTTAACAACCTGGCCAATAACCAACATTCTCCCCAACATGGTGCAACGATTTGATGTATGGAACATAGCTGTTGAAGACTAGAAGAGGAAAATTTAGCAAAATATCCTGAACAGCACTTTTATGTACCAATGCATGAAATTGCAGATAAGTACCTGCCGACCTAAATGAATTGAAAAGCAGACCTTACTGACATAACGCAGCAGTTTAATTAAGTCAAGTTAATCACCTGTTATCCATCTTATGTTTTTTCTCACATGCTATAGGTTAACATACCTTGTTCATCAATGTTAAGCTCAAGGAGAGCATAATTAAGATCATTTTGTTTCACTTACATCGAATATGCTCCTTTGGCAGGCAACCACATGAGTATGCTCCTTTGGTAGGCAACCACATTTTCTACTACGTATTTACTCTCAATTACACCAAAAACCAAATAAAGGTTATGAGCCCATTTTCCCTCCTGGTACCTGGTAGTCCATTGGAGATGTATATCTAAAAAGGAGTAAGTCGAATGTCTTACTTTTCTCCTTGGCTTTACTGATAATGTATGTATCTAATGAAAATGATGAACCCAAATATTCAGATTGAAAAACTGAATGACAGTGATTTTGAAATATGAAATTTGAAAGAATGGTTTAAATCCAGTCAAAACTTTGAAAAGTTGCAAGTGAGCAGTTAATTTAGCTAGAAACTTCGGAAGCTAACCAAGCTGAACTCGACAAATGAGTGGTAAAAGATTTTTTTAAAAATTAGTAATCATTGCTCTGAGGACGAAATCATCTGAGGCAGTGCACATTAAAGAATGTCATACTTCATATGAAGCATGGATGAAACTTCATGAAATTCATCAGTCTACAGTAACTTTATGAAGCAGCTTAGCTCAAAAAAATAAATAAATAAATAAATAAATAAATGTGAATGAAAAAATACGAGGTTACTTAAAGTCTTTCTTCAAAATTGTAAATAACCTTGCAGAAATAGGATCTGAAACTTCAGAAGACTTCCTAACTATTTAGCTGCTATGTAGCTTAACTGAAGAATTTGAACGTTTCAGAATAGAATCTCGCTATAAATTACCCGACTTCAATACACTATAAGTTAAGTTACTAGAAGAATTTTAAAGTCACCAACTTAAAGCACAAGAAAACTGCCAAGTGCATGATGTATTTAGTTACTAAATACTATGGCAACACAAAAGTGAAGTCTAAGAAAGCAAAAGATATAACCACTTTAGATATTAGACAACTTTAGGTAACAGTTCCAAGAAAAAAAGGCACAAATCATGAGACTGTAGAAAAATTAAAAGCAAAAATCCAGTAGTTATATAAGCAATGAAGCAAAATTGTCTGTATGCTGTATATCAACAAGACATAATTGAGGTTTTAAATATCACACAAGGTAATGTAAATACTCCAAACAGTAAACTGAAACTGCGGCATAAAAAGTTGTGTGCATTCTAGAGAGATGGTGCAGGTTCTGAAGATTCCAAAATATAATAGTAAAACCCTATTCTGTGAAACCTGAACAAAATGCAAACTAAGTTACCATTTCCGAAAGAAGCACATACAGTAAACTGTCATATTCTTGAGCTTGTGCACACTGATATTTATGCTCTCACGAATGTCACCTCTTTAAGTGGTCCAAAATACTTCATAATATCCACTGATGACATACTGTGGAAAATTACTGTGTATGCCTTATGGAAGAGGTCTGGAGCCCTTGAAGCATTTAAGAAAAACAAATTTCAGGCTAAAAAACAAACTGGTAAGCAGCTAAAAAAAATGCTCCACATTGATAAAGCAAGAGTTCAAAAGTGATGAATTTAATCAATTCTTAGAAAAGGAAGGCATTAAAAATGTTAGTTCTCTGTCGAGTATCGACTACAACATAACAGAGTTGCAGAGTGCATCATATGTACTCTAGCTGAAATGGTCAGATGTCTGTTGTTCCATTCAAAAATACCCCCACGATTGTTGGCAGAAATGGTATCATCAGTATCTTGCATATGCAACCAACGTCCTACTAAAAGGAGACCAAAAATTTCTGAAGAAATATGGTCTAAAAGAACACATGTAACAATGGTGGTGCTTCCTTCTTATAAAAAGAAGGAAAAGAGCTTACGAAATGTTGCCCATTGCTTTTCCGCCATTTGAACATTTAAAACAAAGATTTTAAATGGCTATTCCCGTGCAAGGTAGTAAATAAGTAGATAAGATCCCAAACTGCCACCAAATATATAATATCAGTAAAAGATCCCATCTCTAAATTCAGGGGGTTGGTTAAATCCTTAAGACATCCCAATTGGATGAAGAGCCAATTCAATCCCTCCCAAACCACCAAACGCAAACTCTTGACCAAACAGGGGTGCAATAGTGAGTCTGAAAAATAAATTAAATAAGGAGGACAGAGGTACTTCCTCAAGCCAAGTGGCCAGGTGGTGTATATAGATTTCATATCTATATTTATATTCCGAAATACAGCTGCGAGAGGGAATTTCTTGCATAGTTAGTTTTACACCCCCCTCCCAAAAAGGACTCACAGGGCATCTTATTGCTTGTTTCTTGTGGTATCAAACTCACTTTACCTGTAGGTGTTTAGTATACATTAGGAAGCTTATTATGCCAGACAGCCCTTTGTATAGAAGGGCCTGATCGAAGCTGATGTTGGGAAACCCAAGGAATTTGTTTCTAGGGACAGAAAACACCGGACATCGTTCCAGGAAGTGAATAGGTGTTTCCTCTTCTTCTCCACAAGCTGGGCAGAGAGGAGATTCAACAAGACCACATTTGTGGAGATGCTTGGGCAGATAAGCATGTCCAGTAACAATTTGAATTACCTGGCGTAAGTTAGTTCTACTGAGGTGTATGAGTTTACCTGATAAGTTAAGTGTACCGAGCACCAATTTAGAATGAGCACAGTCTGGTAGTTTAGACCATATATCATCATGTTTGTTCTTTATCTCGCCTCTTACTTCTTTTTTAACAGTTTGATATGAAACTGGGTAAAATGGTTCTGGGGCAGACATGGGTAGTTGCGAAGCATCTTTAGTTACTTTAACGGCTAGTTCATTTCCAGCAAAATCACAATGACCTGGGACCCAAACTAAACTAATGGTGTTATGGGCCTGAGCCAGAGAAATGAGATCTGAGTACAGTTCAAAACACAGTTTTGTAACTTGACATGATTAGCCAGAGCAAGGATGGCTGATTGGCTGTCAGAGAGAATATATATATTCTTGTCAGCCAGAACCTCAGCTTGGAAATCAGTTGTTAGTTTACCCACGTATAGATGAAATCTCCAGATCCCTTGGTTCTTATAACGGCTCCAGCTCCAGTGAAGTTGGATTTTGATCCATCTGTGTAGCATTCAACTGATCCTGTTGGGATTAGGTCAATTAGAGATTCTATCTCATTCCTTTTTGGTATATAAGTTGAAAATAGTTTATCTGGAACTATTGTTTTAGTAATTGCATCCTTGGGCATATAGATTATAGGAATCTCATTGCCCAAGTCCCAGCATATGTCAATGTTGCTTTTATGACCAAAACCTGTTCTTTGGCACCATGTGCCATTTTTATTCAACCTATACATGACTTTAATTGCTTCTCTGCTCAACAAACCTATACATGGCTTTAATTGCTTCTCTGCTCAACAGTTTCAAGGGTGGAATTTGCAGTAAAAATTCTATTGTGTCAGTAGGGATATTGTTTAAAGCCCCACTAATGCATAGGCAAGCAAGTCTTTGCACCTTCTGTAAAA